CGGAAAAAGGAAAGAGAGAGGAGAGGAGAGGAAAGGAAAGGAAAGGAAAGGAAAGGAAAGGAAAGGAAAGGAAAGGAAAGGAAAGGAAAGGGGAGGGAGGGACGGAGGGAGGCTGAGTGCAGCCAATTTTGTATCACTAGAGCTTTGCCTCTTGATTGGGATTTGGGATTTTTTTAATAGGTTCTACAGCCTGAAAAAAGTTTGAAATGCTCTGATCTAGGCTACCTGGGGAGACAAAATTGGAGAAAGAGCTTTTCCAACAGTGTTTTAGACAGACAGTGCAAAGAGCTGACCGATATAGAGTAAAGTTGTATTCATGATAAAGGTTAGCCCACGCTACACTTTAGTTCCATGGGTCATCACTAACATTGTCTTCTTTGTCCTTTTCTTTCTGTCCTGGTCGCCCTCATTTGAGGGGCAGTGCAGTTGCCTCATGGGAAGATGTGGGGGGTGTTAAATGTAGAAAACAGGGTTGGTTTATTATGTACCAGCTTTCCTTGAGCTAGGCAACATCCAGAAATGGGGATTTAATTGCCCATAATTCCTCAGCCACCATGGCCACGGAGAGAATTCTGGGAATTGAAGACCACATATTTGAAGGGTTGGGAGGGGGAGATTGTCCTATACAAATCCCACTAGCTGGGCTCATAGATTGTCTTACAATAATATGGCGTTTTTGTTCCGCCTGAGGGTGTCGTGTGAACCAAGCCGTTACCACTGACTGTGACAAACGGTGGCTTAGCGTACTGTGTGAAGCAGGCCACTGAAAGGGAGGGAAGCTGCACAGGGATTTGTGGAATATGCCCCATAATTACTGAGCATATGGAAGCAGTGCATAGATGTTGCGCCCTCGTAAACTACCGCAATGTGAACCCAATGATGGATTCCAAACTTAGTGCCTGTGTTAGGGTGACCAACTGCCCCAGCAATCCCTCTGAGCGCTCAATTCTGAGAAGTGCCTGCCAAAAAAGAGAGAGATCTGAACGGCCTTTCCTTCCTCCAGCCCCCACCTTGAGCCAATAATTATCAGCAGCATAGCACCTTTGGTCAATATTGATCAAGGCTACACCCAGGCCAAACCAGGAAAACCACAAAATGACAAGACTTAGAGTTGCCACCTTCCCCTGTTCTGTATCTCGAAGGTTGTATGGTAGGCAGCATTCAACAGGTGTGGCTTTCCTATCCCTTCCTGCCACAAATGCAGCAGTGATGAGCCAAGACGGGAAAGACAGATCCTCTGTTCCCGCAGGCTGATCCAGAAGCCCACCCTGTAACCCCACCAGATCTGTAAAAGCAAGTTGCTAAGATAAATATACTTTGCACATGCTCAGGAGACCTTCTCTCAGCTATTACCCACATGGCTGACAACTATGCCCAGGACGTACCCAGAGTCAGTGGGCTACTGAGAATTTATTAGAATAATCTATTATAAATAATCTATTAGAATAATAATTAGAGAACCGTTAGAATCTAATGGTTGATCATTATGTTTTTAGCACTGACAGTTATGGGGAAGAACACAGAAGCACCCTTGCTATTTGTCACTGGTAAGGTTTCTCTTGACAATAATGAGAACTTGAATGTTTGCCTAAATTTGGGCTGGGTTCACCTCACCCACTAAACTACAATATGTCTGGTTCATTTGCTCTGTGAATGCAGCCAGTTAATTTATGATTTAGTGTGCTATGCAGACCCAGGCAACTATGTCACTTCAGCATGATTTAGTCAATCGTGGGGTAGTATGTTACAAAAACCCAAAGAAAAACCTATAGACATACACCCAAACATTTCAGTTTTAAGTCTGATAATATTGGGGGGGGGGTTTCCATTTTTTCACAGAAGTGGGGCTATCAAGATACGCCAGCAAAGGAGCTGATGAAACACCGAGGGTCTGGCCACATCCCAGAGGAACCAAGAATGCCTTTTTACGTGGCCCATGGGCGCATGGCTCCGTCCCCTAGTTATATACCCCTAGGAAGATTACAAGGACAGCTGTACCATAAACCTCCCAATATAGGTCTACCCAGGACTTGGGGACCTCTGGCAAGACCCCAGTATGGACATCAGCCACGATTTTGAAGTACCTTTGAAGTTCTAAGGCAGTGGGGGGAAAAAAGAGATACTGGAGGTTAACACAGAAGCAGCGGGAAGCTTTAGAGATAGATATGATTACTCTAACTGTGAGGAAGAATGAAGGTTGATTACAACCTGGAACTCTTAACACATTCTGCTATAAACTGGTAGACTTTTTTTTTTTTAATCTAATGACCTTTCCCATGGTACCTTTGCAGAATTAGGCCCTGAACTGTTACCTGTTTATACAGTGACAAATGTTTGTGAATCCAATATAAGTTTAATCAACACAGCTGAACATTTTTTTTAACGCAGTGGGATGAATTAGAAACGAGCAAGCATCTCAGAAGCATAGAGATGAGCTGTTCAACCGTTTCTGGGTGAAGCTGCCGAAACACCAAGAATCAATATTAAACCTCTGGCCACCATCCCCCAACATGTGCTGATAAAAATGGAAGTCACTCATACATACCTCTGGAATTAAAAAGGGGAAGATGCGCACTCTTCATTAGGTTATATTTTAAACTCCCCTCTCCTATCAAAGTATGGTATTGAATCAAAGGCAGACAGAAAGTAGAATGAAATTTAAGAGATCTCGGTCATTATATTGAACCTCATTGGTTTCTAAGGGAAAGCATTTAGAAAGGAGGAGTGACAGAGTAACTGTTGATAAACCTCTGAACACAAATGGAGAGAAAAGAGAAAAAAGTATTGATCCAGGGAAACCAATAAATAGTAGGAGAAAGACGTGTCTTCTATAAAAATTTCAAGGAAGATGGAGGAGAAAGCAAGACCATCCGGTCCTCTTGCAATCCATTCTAAAACCCATCATTGAACACTATATTACAAAGTAAATATAGTGAGCAAAGCAGGAGTGTTCCCAGAGTACGGCAGCCACAACAGGGCAACTGAACCTCCACCATTTTTATAAGCATCACACATAGGCAGAGCTTTGATCGCACCATTGGGACCACCATCTTGACTTTTTGACCATACCCTGCAGACCCCCTGGAGCAAAGCTTTCAGGTTCTCTGGAACTGTTTGGCCCTCCAAATCCTAATCCTACAACATCTCACTTAGATTAGTTCCATCAGACTATAATTTTCCAGCTTCTTCTCGGAGTGTTTGCCAGGGAGACTTAATTGTACCATAGCCCTACCTCTTCCTGGAGTGGCATTATCTTCCATTTGTAAACCCCAGCTGATTTGGTCATCTTAAACTCTTTCTCCCCCCTCCCCCCCGCCCCCCCAACAAAAAAAAAAAAAGAAATATTAAGGAAAAACAAAAAGATAGCTGCAAAAGGAGATCTT